ACAAATAGCTATTTTTCCACTGCCACAACTTTTGACAACTAAAAGACAACTTTTTGACAATGGTATTAGAAAATAGTATATTAAAGACGTCATTTTGTTGCACGTGGACAATTTATAAAACGAGCGACGAAGGAGCGAGTTTTGTAATGGACGAGTGCGACAAAAGGTCTCATAACATGAGTTGTTTATGCTATTTTATCTATTTTGCAAAAATTCTATAAAAATAATTAATTTTATACCTTATATTTAATTTGGTCGAATTTTACTTTAGATAGGTCCTTATGTTGGTATCACAGTCATTGGTTTGGCTGTTAATGTCAAAATCGATTCGCCATGCCGTCCTTAATTTATTTATTTATATTTATAATAAGCGGCTATTAATTTTAAAGTAAAAAAAAGGATTTTCTTTGTTGTTAAACAAAATTTATTACCAGAAAAGTCTCGTAAGTACTAGAAAAATCAAAAATATTATAACCAATATGCAAAATATTATTTTACTTACTAGTATGCTGTATAGCCAACCTATAAAATCAAAATTTTGGGTGGGGTATCTCATTACAGCAGCGAAAGCGGTGTTATAATGAAGTCATTATGAACGCAAAATAGATAAATAGTATTTATACACCCCTGTTATTAACATTTTTAAAACTTTTTTTTAATATTTAATATAAAATAAAGTTTGAGTACAAATTGAATTAACGAACCTTTGTCGATCGAATGTTGTGTGAGCTTAACCGGCCGTAAAATGTAATCCGGGCGTTTTTTCTAGTCTATCACGTTTCACCACCGGCACTTAATTACACAAACGGTTAGCACTGGTTACCAATATCCATGAGGTTGATAACAAAAGATAATACTTTTGATGTATGTATCGGGGTACGCATTGAATTGTTTTACTGATTTCGTTTATTACAGAGCAGCGACGCATCGCAGGTAATGAATTCAAAATTTTTCTTATCTAATACCTATTTAAATTTGTGACAGCAAGGTTGCGATGGAAACACAAATAGATAACAGTAAAAAACTTGTAAACTTGTAACTATAGGCATATTTTCCATAAAATATTGTTTTTTTTTGTGTACATAATGTATAATATACATTGTATATGAGTACATTAGATGCATAACTCTGTATTTGCAGGATAAGTGATTTTAAGAAAAACACGAAAAACCGCTCATAAGGTCATATTTGAAAAAAAAATACAAAAATCGTATAGACGTGCTTTTGCATCATTTCTTATTCAAAAAAGTAAAAAAAAGTCCTTTAAAATTAAGTAGTTTAGTAAATAATTGAAATCAAAAGATTTAAAAACATAGTTTTGCATCTTCCTCGTTCAAAGACCAAGTTTTGCAAGTGAAAAGTGCAAATACCAAAAAAATAACAATTAATCAGGTGATTGTTATGCCGTCAGTTAATGCGTATACTAGCGACGTGATTGGTGATTGGTCAAATACCGAGTTTTGCATCCGACAAATACCCAGTTTTGCAGCTGCGGTAAGTTTATAAATGTATTTTATTCTACAAATATTAACTTATGCATCTGGTTTACTTAGTTATGCTGTGGGCAGTGCAGTTATGAACATAAATAAGATAAAATATATATTTTTTTAAAATGTGCAAAAACCGAGTTTTGCATCTAATGTACTCATATATCGATGACTTTTTGCCAAAGTATCGCAAGCAACATAACCCAAATTTCGGGAATTGAAAACATTTTGCTTGTCTGTTTAAATTAAATATAGCCTAAAAGTTTTATAATAAGTAATTACTTAGCTTATACCTAAGTATAGCTATTGTTATAAAACCTGTAGGTTATATTTGGTTTAAAACAGACTTTAAAACAAAAAATGATTTCAATTCTCGAAATTTTAGTTATGTTGCTTGCGATACTTTGGCAGAAAGTCATTGATATACAAAAAACGAATATTTTATAAATTTGTCTAATTTAATTAGATATATATAGGTATACCTAGTATACTACACAAATTATTTTTAACTTAAATGTTTATTAGATCAGGTTTAGAGTATACACTTTAAAATGTAAACACCAATTACTGCGAAAGCTATTTTAACAATGTTAAATATACTTACTATAGAAAACTTATTAAGTTTTATCTACTCCCATACATACAAAATGTGCTATACTTCGAATGCATTGCGTGAATTTAAGACTTGTCAACAATACATTTAAAGCAACGATTATACAGTTGTATTCAATAAAAAAGCGTACAAGAATTAGAATAAGAGAAAACTGTCAAAATAATATTATTGCTTAAAACCGGCTTATCACTGACATAAGTCATTAAAATAATTACTATAGGTTATAAAGAGCATTCACGTCGTAGGTTAATTAGATAATATTACAAAAATTATTACCTTTTAATAATGAAAAAAAAAAACAAAAAAAAATTTAATATTTAGTCATGCATCCCTGTTTTTCTTTTACTCAAGTCTATTTGAGATGAACTGATTTAAATTTAATACAATTTTTGGATTAATATCTTCCCAGCAGTATAGTAGGTATAGTATAGTTGTATAGTTTCCCATAAATCCTCAGATATCCCAAAAAAGCAGCATCCTGTTCAGGGGTGGACATTTTGGGACGACCTGAACCAACTTTTTGGTTTAGTAAATCTTCCTGTTCCCAGCGTTGCTTAATTTTTAATATAGATTTTTTATTTCTATTATACCACAGTACGAATTGACCATTCTTCTTCGATTCTTAATAATATTTGAGCCTTTTTAACTGACGAGGCATTTTCATTTTCTACTGTCAGTTATAGTGACTTAAGTCAGTGGAAAGCCGGTTTTACGCAATAATGTTGACAGTTTTCTCTCATTCTAATTCTTGTACGCTTTTTTAATGAATACAACTGTACATCATTTTTAAATAAATAGGTAGTTTTTTTTACAAAAGAGAGGAAGGCTCGACAAATTTTGTTCAATTGCTCAGCTAAATCCGGCACGTTATTTGCGTTTTACGTTGCAAGGAAAAAATTAAAACATGTATTTTTTAAGGTCGCCTTTTAAAAATGATATCCATTTTTCCAAGAACAAAATACAGGATCCATTATGGAGGACATTTTTTCAAAAAAAGTCTCATGTTATCGCTCAAATTAGGCAACATGTATTTTTTAAGGTCGCCTTTTACAAATGATATCCATTTTTCCAAGAACAAAATACAGGATCCATTATGGATGGCAAAATTTTTAATTTGCACAGTAGGATAAATGTAAAAAATGGTAGGATACATTTGCACAGTAGCTTAAGATATTAATTGAATTCTTTCGAGCGTCTACTTATAGACACAAGGTTTTTTACGTAAACGTATCATACCTTCTGTTTGTAAAAAAGTTGTTAATCAAATCCTTATCTATAGACAGATGGTTCTCCCCAGTCTTATCCCTATAGGGATTATAATTGTTAATATATTAGAAATTATTACATTGGTAAAATGTGCAGCAACGTTCCATGCAATGTTGCACGCCGCGGAAACATTGCAGTGCGCGAAACATAGCGAACTTGAAGGCGCGGACATAGACATTGCAGCAACCTTAAACTTTAAAGAAATATTAAGTGCTGTATGGGCTGTAAAAACATCTCATTTTTTTTTATTTAAAATTGGGAAACTATTATATAACAGTTTCAATTATGAATATTTAATTAAGTTTATTGTTGTATGTCATTTTTACCTTTAAGTTAAAATTGGGAAAAAGTTATGTTAAAACTGTTTGACAGTTGTCAGATAACAGATAAAATATGAAATAAAATTGGCTTTAAATTCCTTGCGGTAGTTGAATAAAATATTGTTTGCGACTTTTGCTCAAAAGAGGCAAACTACATGCTTGAGGAATCTTCTCTTTCTTCTACCAGTCACACAATATTCTTGTAGGGTATTATTTGACAACCCTTAAATAAATGTTTCCAAAAAAATCTTTACCATTTTTAAACATATTATAGCGAATGTCAGTGTACCTACTAAAAGTTTTTTTAATTGTAGTTACGTTTACCTTTTATTGAAAAATCATTTATTATTTATAAAACAACGAAAAATGTAAAAAAAATGTATTGTTATAAATTTATATAGAAAATTAATTAAATTAATTATTATTAATAAGATTTGACAAGTAAGTTATTATTAATAACCCATATTTAACTGTAAAATGTGTTTTTCTTAGTACTTTTTGAGTGGATCACTTGGAAGAAAGACAATAGTTTTAAAACTAGGTTGTTAGAATAAATTTCATTAATTATAAATTAAAAATTATTAATTAGATATAAATACCTTTTAACAAATATAGAAAATATAACTTTTAAATGAAAATTTGAATTATTTAGCTTAAATATTAGTTACCTAAAATCACAAAATTCAATTGATTGGTAAGATAAGAAACCTGGTATGTTTGTTATATTTTGTTTACTTGTTAAAAATTTATATACGACAAGGTCCAATCCAAAAAATTATCTTAAAGCATTTAATCGAAAAATATCATTATTTCATCATTATTATATCTTTATAAAAAAAGTATATCAGATTTTTCTCTTTAAACTCAAAACAATTAAAAAATTAAAAAAAAAAACATTGCTTTAAAGCAATTAATTAAAATAGAATTTTTAAAAATGCTAATTAAGTAAAGTGTAACTTACAGTATTCACATGTTAACTAAACATTTTATCAATTAATAATACATATAAATAGATTAAAGAAAAAATACAAAACCACATCCTTTGTGGACATTCTCAAAATTAAACAAAAAAAAATATTTTATAATATTTATCTATTAAGTCCAGAAATATTAATATTTTATTATTAGTATTTTACTAGAAGTTTAAGAAAACGAAAAAATACTACAAAAAAATACTGTCTGCAGGAAGTTATCTAACATGATGCAATAAAAAAATTCTTGCACTGCAGTCATAAATGAAAAGCTCTCCTGATCAAAATTCAAATGAAAAAATAGCCAAGGCACAATAAAAATCCATTAAAAAACTTGACTAACCTGTTCGAAGGGGTGAATATTGCCGGCACCATAGTTTTGATGTGGCAACGGAGCGGCTGTCAGCATCCACTGATTCGGCCGCCCTTTGGAAAATCCATATTGGGCGGAGAAGGGTACGCGCACGCGCACTGGTCCTTAGTCCTTTTTAGAGTCCTTGCGACAGGAATTTGTGTGGTCGCAGGAAGAACGACGGAAAGTAACAGTAAACTCTTCGATCCGCTGTGTTGTCGTGGTTGCCTATGTTTAGATTACCGGATTTTATTTAATTGTTCTAAATTTTGTATTTAAACGTCTATGTTATACAAATCCTATTATAAGATTTAAAAATAGGTACCTATAGGTATACGTATACCTATACGTATACGTTTTTTAAAAATATTAACTTATTTCCGTTCCTGCAGGCGATAGTATCTACAAAAAAAATTGACAAATAGTTTTTAATTTAAGTTAAACGGCCACCATATATGCCCAATGCCCATAAACTAAACAATTTTAATATATACATACTTATTAGGGTGGTCCAAAAAATAAAAGTTTTTTTATTCTATAACATAATTTTTCATAATTTGTTGAGTAATAATTACTTAAAAAATACGAAAAATAATTATAAAAAGCAAATCATTCGTTAAATATTCCTACCGAACGTTTGGACAGTCATGACTGCAGATTGACTTCAGGAACATGCGTATTTCCAAAATCGCATGGGCCGTACTAAAAAGGAGGGGTGAATTTAAAATTAGGTATGTCCCTGACGTCCATCTGACCGTCAAAATGCTCGGTAGTAAGTTACTACTAGTAACAAGCCTGATATAAATATGAAAATATACAAAAATAATTCTCCTTACCTATCCTTGAATGTTGTATTGGCCTGCTATATTTTAATTTTAATATACAATTTCCAATGGAACACCCTATTTTTTATTGCAGATTCGGATCATATGATAAAGAAAAATGGAACAAAATAGATTTTTTTATTACAGCGCCATCTATTACAAATATGAAAAAATGTTTTAGACAAAACTAAAAATAGGTAGATTTTATTCGATTTTTCTTCTGTATACGATTCTCCAATAATTTTTGAATAAAATAGGTAGGTACTTGGTTTTTTATTTATTTATTTATTTTTTAATTTTAATTAAAGTAGGTGATTAAAATGGCGGCCTTCGACTTAATGCATTTATTAATTCGCATTTCAAATGACTCTACTCAACTAAGTAACGTATCTGCTGGAATTTCGGCACAAGCATTTCTAATTCGGTCAATCATATTTTCACGGGTTGTTGGTACTTGTTGATACACACGGTCTTTGAGATAGCCCCACAAAAAGAAATCCGGCGAAGTAAGATCAGGTGATCTAGCAGGCCAACTAACCGGACCTGCTGTGTGGGCAGATTATTTTCCAAAATATCTCGCTACATTTCCCTTCAATGATGAGGGGACCGATGATTTTGTTGCCAACTATTCCACCCCAAACGTTGACAATCCAAGGACGCTGATGTTCAACTTGACGGAGCCAATGCGGATTTTCAACACTCTAGTAATGCATGTTGTGCCGATTTACTGTTCCATGGTTTGTAAAAGACGACTCGTCGGAGAACAGTATCTACAAAACGAAAACATTTGGATTTTGTTTGCATTTATTTCAGTGCCCACTGACAAAAAATTACCCTATTTTGAAATTCTGCTAACACTGCTCTGGGATATTCCCAAATCTCCAGATAATTCTCGTGTGCTTGCATGAGGATTAGCGGCCGTTGCTGCTAATACATTAATTTCATTATTTCCACCTGTAACTGTTGCTCGACGAAGTCTTTTTTTCTGTTAAAACTCCCGTTTGTAGTAAACGGCTTGGCTGTACGGTGAAATGAAGTAAGTGATCGATTTTTTCCTGCCTGCTTCTCCATAAACCAAAATAATTTCTATTTTTTCTTGCATTGTTAATGCATTGTTAAAAAATCCATTATGAATAACTGCTTAACGAAAGGAGGTCTTTTTGTTTGCAAATTAATCTTCGAACTAAATTAATTAAATAATGCTAAACTATGTATAAATAGTTTCTTTATACCTCAATAATAATTACACAGTGCAACAGTGCAAAAGGGAATGGGATGAAACCAAAAGCAAATGAAAGGTAATAGCTTCTACAAAAAAACCCTATTAGGTTTTTTTTAGATCACGTCTCAGTTTTTTATTATACGCATTTAAAGTTGGTAGATTTTTGGAAACCCTATAGTATACTATATACCTACCTATAGGAAAAAAATAATTAAAACAATTTTAATTTTTTTAAATTATTCTGGCAATATAGTCGAGGAATCCATTCCAAGTAAAGAGCATTTTTACTAGAAAACTGGGCATTTTTATAAAAAAATAATCTCTTTAATGCTTTAATCAAAAAACAATACTTGTATAAAACAACTGCAATTTTTTGTAGTAATAATATTTTTTTAAAAGGGCGAATACGCCGAAATACTTTTTTTTTGTTTTTCTCAAAACAGGAAAATGGCATATTCGCCCTTTTGAAAAAATATTATTACTACAAAAAATTGCAGTTTTTGTAGCAAAAACGACGTTGTTTAAAGGTAAAATTGATTTGTTTACTTAAAAACACATATGTACTATATAGTAAATCAGTGCAACATAAAACGTTCTTCTTAATTAATATATTTAATTAAATTATTTTTTTTATTTAAAGGACAATATAATATAAAACAAAACTTAGTTCCAAAATATAAAAATGTAAAACAATTGTACCTACAATATTACGGAATACATGCCATTTTCCTGTTTTGAGAAAAACAAAAAAAAAGTATTTCGACGTATTCGCCCATTTGAAAAAATATTAGTACTACAAAAAATTGCAGTTTTTGAAGCAAAAACGACGTTGTTTAAAGGTAAAATTGATTTGTTTACTTAAAAACACATTTGTACTATATAGTAAATCAGTAACAGCAACAAAAAACGTTCTTCTTAATTAATATACACTACTCAAAAAAGTCTAGGGATATTATGATTAAGTGAAATTAAAAACTTCTTTATTAATTTTTTTATTTTATTTTGTAATTGTTTTCAATTAAAAAGTCCTAACAATATAAAATAAATCAAAATTTAGGTGGTAACAATTTTTATTCTTCGCAAATAAAAATTACAAACTTGATTAATAAAATTTATTATAAATGAATTAACAAAATCAATACGAAAAAAATAAAAGCTTGTGTTCTTAGTACCGAGTGTGACCTCCTCTACTGTTTGCAACTGCTCTACATCTACGAGGCATACTTAGGATTAAATTATCTAGCTCATTTTGAGGTAATCTGGTCCATACGTCTTGAAGGCAATTAAAGAGCTGCTCTTGGTTCTCAAAGTAATCATTAACCCTTAGAACGCCTCTCTGTAGCATATCCCAGACATGCTCAATCGGGTTAAGGTCTGGCGACTGAGCAGGCCACGGTAAAACAGGGATTTGGTTAGTTCGAAGGAAATTTCTAACAACGTTTGCGGTATGTGGGCGTGCATTATCATGCATTAAACAAAATTCGGGCTCTGCATTTTGTGCGAATGGAATAACGACAGGACGGAGTATCAAATCCATATATGCGACTGAATTTAATGTTCCTTCTAATCGAACGAGATCTGTTCTTCCGCCTAATGTTATTCCGCCCCAAACCATAATTGTTCCACCTTGAAATGTATGAACCTCTTGAACATTACGAAGACGGTTTTCGGCTCCTGGTTGTCTCCAGACTCGTATTCTTCTTGAATCCGGGTAAATTCCAAATCTAGACTCATCTGTAAATAAGATATGACTCCACTGTTCATCTGTCCATGCAAGATGTTCTCTAGCCCAGATATCCCGTGCTCTGCGATTGCCCCTGGTTAGTGGTGGAACTCTCAAAGGTCGTCTACTCCAAAGATTAATCTCATGTAGGCGATTTCTTATGGTTTGACCGGAAATGGTTAGATTGTGGGTCTGCTGTAAATTTCGTACCAGTTGTGTAGCGGTCAAATTTGAGTTTCTTCTTGCTTGTAGTTGTACAAACCGGTCTTGCGCTGGGGTAGTTATTCTTCCACGGCCTGGGTGTCTTTCACTTACACTCCCTGTCTCACAATATCTACTCCAAAGGCGACTAACAACACTTTGAGAGGTGCCTATAGTATCTGCTACTAGCACTTGGTTTTGGCCGGCTTCGAGCATTCCAACAGCGCGTAACCGCTGTTCTTCGGTCAAATGAACTCTTTGCATAGTGAATATACCAAGCACACTTTAAATACTGTCTTTAAAATGAAAAACGTAAAATTATTTCCTTATGCAAAAAGTAGTGTTTTGCAAAACATCGACATGTTTTTTGTTTGGTTAATAAAAAAAATTATTAATGTTGTAAAAGTACACAGTAACAAACAATGAATTTATAATTTAATAAAATGTATTTATACTGTGCGTCTTTTTTTAACTTATATATAATTATTTAGAATATCCCTAGACTCTTTTGAGTAGTGTATTTAATTAATTTTTTTTATTTAAAGGACAATATAATTATAGTTCTAAAATATAAAAATGTAAAACAATTGTACCTACAATATTACGGAATACATATAATTGAATATATTGAAAAGTTTGCAGAACTTGTAAGTAATAACAATTTAATTAAATGATCACAAAAGAAAAAGAAGTCAATGGAATTTGGTGTTCCAATGTTGTGGTATAATTCAGGTATTTTTTATATTATTATATTAAAACATGGATTCTCTATTCGTATTTTTGATTATATTGATTATATTTTGCATTGTATCAATTTTTGGATGAACAGCTGGAACTTCTGGTACTTAAACTCGTGTTACTGCCGGTTGCAGCAGTGATAGTTTTTAAATAAAAATAAAATAGCGAATTTAATAATGTTTAGTTTAAGAAGTAAACATGCTATTTTTTCTTAAAAAAACAAGTTTTCTATACTAATAAATCAAAAATATTAAAAATTGCTTTCGAATATCACCAAGGGTATATTTTACAACAAGCGGATGACAAAAATGGATTTCTTACCTTCAAAATAGTAAAAATTAGTAACAATTTTTTGATAGCGTCCTCTTCTGATGGTCTTTGGTAAAAATTAACATCACAAATGGAT